GAACAGAGCATCCAGCTGCAAGTCTTGCAGACCTGAATCACAGCCTCTGAGAAGAGGGAGCTGCCCAGTGGTGCTGAATTTCTGAGGGAGTGTGATGTGGCTCAGAATGTGGAAAAACATCCCAGAAACTAGAACAAACTGCCCACAGGGTAAAAGGAGCAAGTTCCTCCTCCCTCCTTCTGCCTGATTGGCCTCTAGTACATTCTAACGGCAGGACCTAATGAGGAGCCAGCTAGAAAAAGAGAAACTGTGACTTACAGAGTCCCAGCTCCAGATCACAGCTGAAAGGTTCTAGCTGAATAACCATCGTGGTAATGCACACTCAATATTCAGGGTTACTTGCCACAGAATACATATTTGCTTGTGAAAGTTGCAAGGAAGGGACATTAGCAGCTTTTTTTTCTAAGTCACTTAGCAAATTGGCAGTGTAATAAAAATGTTTTATATTTATCCATATTGAATCCAGCTAGCACTGACCGAGAACCAGCCATCTAGAGGTGGATAAAGAGCTTTTGGAGTGAAGTTGGCAGCAGGTGGTTGTATGCATCTTGGAAAAACATCCTCCCCCATCCCCCAAAATCTCCTAGGCAGAATAGGACAGGTGAATATCTCACTTATTTACAATCATTCTTTAGTCTTTAAGAGCTCAGCTAAAGGAGTAGAGAATGATGGGAAATCCATGGAGATTATGAAAAATCTTAGCTGATTTAGGATTTTGAAAAGAGTGATTTTCACTCCTTTGGATGTCTTTCAGTGTGCCTCTGAAAGTTCTGGAAGGTGGTAAGTGCTTATGATGTGTCGTGAGACAGCCTCTGTGTGGTTGTTAACCTTAGCATGACTTGGACCTGCAGATTCGTGCACAAGCACAAGCTCTCTGCATTCCCCTCTTTGCATATGTCAATATAATCTAGCATTAACCCGACACTTCCTTGTCCCTGGAAAGCCCAGTGTGGATTTTATAAGGCCACACCAATTACAGCTGATAATTGTTGCCATACTCCTTTCTGAAATAAGCAAATACTCTGGCAGGCTCTCTAAACAGACATCTTCCAGAGCTCAAGGTGACAAGCTGAATGCCCCTGGGGTAAAGAGAATGAAAAGCGGATGAATTCTCTTTTAAAAGAAAGTGAAGGGGAAAAGTGTGAGGGTAGCTGAATATGTAATTGTCTTTCTCATGTGGTGGTAACACCCAGTGCAGGGTAAAAACCTTCATGAGTACTAGAGGATGCTACACAGTAGTACTCTCTACCATCAGAGATAAAAGGTTCAGAGTCAGGCTCAGATTCCTGATCCTATCTTAACACCACTAACTCTTCTGTATCTTCAGGGCTAAGCCTAAAGCCACCAGCCATGTGCAGGGTGACCTAAAGAAGAGCCTGTGGCCTCAGTGTTAGAGTGATGAATGTTTCCATCTGTGTTTTACCTGCTACCTTGATGTAACTTTGGGCAATGGAATTTGCCTAGGTTAGTTGTACTTACCTCACAGCATTGTTGTAATGGTTAAATGATTTGCTTTATGTGAATGTTACTGACACAGTCATTTGGGGGGTAGCATGATAAAATGTTAGCTACCTTTGGCCTTCTACGTTTTCGTGTGGCCAGATCTTGCTAGGTTCTCAGTGTTGGGGAAGTGTTGGTAAGGTTGTGAAGTAGTGTCTCAGTTTCTATCCAAGAAAGAGGGAAGGGAGCCCTAAATTGTACATCTAAACAAAGAAATTACTGAATACAAGCATACTCTCGTCTTAAACTCATTTTAGCAGTAGCCATATATGTCTGGTAGGAAGAAATGTTTACAAATATCTAGGAGCTAGACATCATTGGAATTCTGAATCTATGCAAAATATATTAATGATAAAAGTAGTTTTCTAAGCTGAAACCCTGAGGAACCTGAATGTGATTTAAGAGAGGAGGTGATGGTGTGCCCTGGGCTTGGCAATGATCTGACAAGTGTATAGGGCTCTAGGGTGGAGACAAATATGGCGTGTGTGTTGGGATCACTGAGGAATCCTAACTGGCTAGAATGAGGGCCTGATTTGAGAAATTATGAGAGAGGATTGGATGAGGGAGGAGGAAGTCCTTGAACTATATGCTAGGAGCTCTGATGAGCATTTGAGAGCTATGATGCTTTCTTTCTTAATCAGAGGAGTGACATGATGGAAAAGGGCTTCAAGGAGATAAATGTTCTGAGCCCTGGAGGGGTGATGGGAAGAGTCTCTCAACAGCGAGGCAGGCAGTGCCTGCTCAGCTAATCTAATCATGAGAATAGAGGATCATGGTAATGACAGAGCTGGGAGAGGAAGTGAATCTGAGAGAAACTGGCAAGGAAGTATTGACAGATACGGTGACTGATTGTATGTGAAGGATAAAGGAAATAAGGAAGGGAGAAGTCAAAGAAAACTCACGGATTTTGAGGCCAGGGGAATTTCAGCTGCCTTAGGCATGCATGAGCTGCTAAATTCCTGTAATGAACGATCGATCCTATGTACTGCTACTGTCACTACTGTTTGTCACTGCAGAGTAATGGTGTTTTAGGTCTTACACTGAACCAGGTACTATGCTAAGTGCTTTACATTTGTTAGCTTTTTTAATCCTTATCATGCCATGACGTATTCGTTCATTCATTCATTTAATACTTTTTGAGTGCCTGCCGTGTGCTCTATTTGTGCACATGGGGAGAATATGGGGCAATGTCTTTGCCCTCATTGAATTTCTAATTGGGCCTTCAAACAATTAACATACAAATGAAAAATAAGTTCAAGGGGCCAGCAGGTGGCATGGTCATTGAGGTGCTGGTCTCCCACATGGCTGACCACAGTTTGAGTTCTGGACTTGGTGGCTTGCTTTCTCACAAAGTGCTTCCCCCTGCCCCTGACTTCCATCTCTCTCTGGTAAGTGCATGAGCCCTATAATAAATTTTTAAAAATGGTAATAAATAAAATTAAATACTTCTTATTAAAAAATAAGTTCAATATTGTAAGCTGTGATTAGAGCTATGGAAAGAATAACAGTAGTGAGGGAGTCTCACTGAGAGGCCTACCCTAGAGAATGGTCAAGGAGGCTTAGATTAAGAATGAGCCCTTGAGGATGTAGAGGAGCCAACCAGGCGAGAAGCCAGAAGGACATTCACTATGTGGAACAATAGGAAACACTTGGCAAGCAGTAGGAACTGCCGTGAAGGCCATGTCCCTGGAACCCAAGAGCAAGAAGAGGAGTAGTGAGGATGTTTGTGGATGCCAGGAGGCAGCTGGGTCAGAAAAGAATGCCTTTGACAGCTGTGGGAGGCATGGAAAGCATTCAGCATACAGAGGAAAGACATGGAAGAGACTTAAGTAGAGAAGTGACATGATCTGATTTAATTTTTAAAAGCCCATTATGTGGAAAATATATTAGAATGAAATATGGTGGGCAGGAGGAAATCTGCTAGGCGGCCAGCTCATGTGAGAGATAACAGGAAGTGATAACAGATGAAAGTGATGAAGGATTTGGTATTTATTTTGCTATGCAGCAGAATTTGCAGGTGGAGAGAATGTGGGCCCAAGGAAAAGGGAAGAATGACACCTAGGTCACTGGTTTTAGGAACTGGGTAAAGGCAGTGCTGAGATAAAGACTGGGACAGCTATATTTGGGAGGAAAAACAAGAGTTCCTTACTGGCCATGCCATATTTTAAAGACCTGTGAGCCCTAAATGCAGAAATGTTACCTATGCATTAGGATTTATGAATCTGAAGTTTACACAAGTGGTCCAAGCCAGAAATGAAGATTTTGCATTTATTGGCAGAAAGATGTTTGAAGTATGATGATTCCACTCAGGGCATGAGTGTAGATGGAGAAGAAGCCAAGGGTCAAGTTGATAAGCCTTGTCAATGACTGTAGTCAGGGGCAAGAGACGATTAGCAAACAAGGCTGAGAAAAAAGGAGGAAAATGTGTTTGTGGTGGTCATGATGCTGAGAGAGGAGATGAGTCAAGAAGGCAGGCAGGTTAGGAGTGTCCAAGGCTGTCATTGGGAGGATCCATGAAATGAAGCCGTTGGATTGGGCTGTAGGGGTTTGTGAGGAGTGGCAAAAATACAACTTTAATGTAGCAGTGGGGGTAGAATTAAGATAACTGGGTTAAGAAGTGAGTGGGGGATGTCGAAAGAGCTTGTATAGACAAGACTTGTTCAGAAGCAACAGTTTTTTATTCTCCTTATTTGACATTTGAGGAAGCAGAGGCTTGGTGACCTGTCCACAGTCACTGTGGAAGTCACTGGCAGGGCTGGTTTTGAACCTACATGAGCTTGGATCTAAAACTCATGCTGTCGTCCTCTGTGCTAAACAAGTGTTTAAGTTATCATTTGAATGAATTATTTATTTTCTAATTAGTTCCTTGTCTTCCATTTTCTCTAGCTTGGTTGCTTTCACAAAGTGGTCTCTGATTAACATCCAAATAGAGTAAACACAGGAGAAAGCCAGGATTAAAAATAAAGTGATGATAGATAAATCAAGGGGATTCAAGCATAAAGTTTATAAATATATTCATTGATTGTCTCCAACCATCCTAAAGCACATCCTAGGATCTTCTGAAATAAAGAATGTTTTATTCTTTTTTTTCCTATTAAATTTGGGCCTCAGGCAATATCTGTAGAAGTGCTTTGAAAAAAAAAAAAAAGAAAGCAAAAAAAAAAAAAAATCACCTCTACTCCCCCCTTTGTATTTCCCAGTTTCTTTCTTTTTTTCCATCTTGTCATTTTCAGAAGGTTGCTGTCATCTTTTCTGGGTTTGAGGCTTTCCCTCCAAAGCCCAATTTTGAGTTTTCCCTCCTCAGAACAGAGGCATGGACAGTGAGAAATCTTTCCTTTCCAACTTCTATCTAACAAAGCAACAGTTGGATTTTAGCTAGTTGTCAACTTTTCTCAGGGCTCAGATACCTGCCAGGTGGATATTCACATTCAACCCATATTCAGATCCAATTTCAATATCTAACACCCTGATAATTTCTTTTTCTAAGGGTCATGCCTTACCTTGCCGACATACAAAGGGTCGGTTCCAGTATACTCTTCCAAAACGAAAAACTGGTTCCAAACCCAGCTCCTCTTGGTTCGTTGGTGTGACTGTGGCTTATCTGATAGGAGCGTTTCTAATTCACCTCTTGATGTTGGGGTGCTGGAGAGAACGGTGGTTGTAAGGTCCATCAATCCCCAGAGGTACAAGGACATGCCGAGTCCAAGCCAGCTCTTTGCATTTCTCATTCTACCAGAAGTCCACATGGGATTGCCAGGTTCTCAGAAAGCAAAGTATAGGATGATAAGCCGCTGGATGAATGTATTTTCCAATTAAAAACAAAAACAAAAACAAAACAAAACAAAACAAAAACAAAAACAGTTTTTTTGGACACTTATGCTTTCCAAATGAGATCCTGGTTCAAGTCAATCTGCTTGAAGTTGACTTCCTGTCAAGTTAAGGAAAACACAATGTGATGATCTTAATTCTTTCCTGTGGACTGGTTGCAAGTTTTCAAGAAATATGAGTAAATATCATTTTTCTACTCAATGCATTTAAGAGTTACAGTAGGTAGGTTATTGTTGCAGAAATGCTTAAGCAGTAAATAATATTTTGATAAAAAGAAGTCAGTTTACTATAATCAACCTCAAACCTTTGGATATGAATTCAGTAGGAATAAAAGAAGTGAATAATTTTTTTCTCAGTGGTAGTTTAGCTGGAGGGCTATATGATATTATTAATTGACTTGAATGTAGTGTGCTCTTTGAAATATTTATGATCAGACAGCCTCCTAAATGCTTAAAAATGGCATTTGTTTTTAAAATTTACAGCTAGTAACTAATTTCTCTATTACCCCAACTATTTTTCTTGACTTCTTTTAAAAAAATAACAAAATCAAGCTTTTTTTTTTTTTTTTTCCATTCACAATTATCTCGTGCCTCTGCCGTTATTGAGAACGTTAGGAGTCTTGGATTCATTTATAAGCAGCCGTGGATCACTTCTGACTTTAATCATTCTCTGAGCTCATGGTGGAATTTGGGTTTCACACTCTACTGCTTCGGCTCTGAAGCACTGATAGGGGCTGCTAATGTGACCTTTCTAGGATTTGAATGGTCAGTTAATCATTATATCTTTCACGAGACTTTAAAGTGCTATTAGTCACATGCCACTGTGAGCAAGCTAAGAGTCTAGCCAGCACATCTCCCTTCCTGACCTGAGAGAATCATTTGGGCAAAGAGATGTTAACTGCTACCCTGGGGACACCTTTGCATCAAACTGCCTTTGTTGTTATGAAGTCAGATTTAGCTGGTGACCTCACTCCTGGGCTATGACCTCATCAACCTGTTCTTTCCTTACTTGGCTGGGTTTAATGAGGTAGCGTAGCACTCAAGCCACTCTGTCAAAACAACCAAAATGTTTACTGTGGGCTTAATATTTTTACTGTTAATTTGGAGAATGAACTGCTACTATTTTCTCAGAACAAATAAGTGTATTTGGGGGTTTCTGATCCATGCAACTAAATAATGTTCCACTTCTACAAATGGTTTAAAAGGAATGCATTGATGCCAACCCAATTACCACCTTCCACCTGTCGTCATCAGAACTGGTTTTAGCTTCTTCTCAAATACTATTGAAATGAACAAAAGAATTTCTAAAAATCTTACGATAATTTCATACAATATGTTATTTCATCTCTATATAAGAAATCAGTGAGAACTGATGAAGAGGGAAAAGCTGGGGAAACTGTAGAATTGCTGTAACAGAATGGGAGGCTGTGCCTCTTAAGAGTTCCAGCTTTCAAGGCAGATTGATTGTTCAGAAAAAGTGAGGTAGGTGTACCTTATTTAGAGTGACATGCTTGTTAATAAAGAACAACGGAGCTGCTGGAAGGTGGGTTAGTGGTTCACTCTTTTTGGGCTCATGTTTCTCTGCTTCCTGTCTTGGGGGAGATGTTCTGGAAGAAGGGCTCTTAACCTAGTAGCTATATAAGTGAAAAAGATTGATGAGAAATAGCTGTGCTGTTTTTGGGAGCTTGAAGGTAGACTAAAGGGCATTACAAAAGAAAATTGTGGACAAAATACTGTGATTGGTAAGCCATAAAGTGAATATTCCCTATGTTGTACATCACAAAACTATAATTTCTGAGAGCACTAGAATAAGAGTTAGACAGTTTGGTTCCTGATATTGAATGTATCACTCTGACTTACTCATTTCTATGAACTTTAGTTTCCTCAGCTGTTAAGCAGGGACAATAATTCTCCCACCTATCTCATAGGACTATCTGAAGAGTGATTGGATAATGCAGATGGAAGTGCTCTTTAATAACTAGGTGCCAACTGACATTTGAAAAGTCACACTGATTACCTGGGTGACATGAAAAATGATGAATTTGAGCCTGAATGTATTTTATGGGCAGCTGTGGAATGAAAATTGAGAAAGGGGCCATAATATATACTATTTCACAAGTGTCTACATCTGAAATAAGTACTGTTTGGTAGTAGTTTGTTGCTCTGCCTTTTTTTTCCTTTAATTTTTAAATTTAATTAAATTTATTTTTAGTTTGCTATAGGGCACCTGGTGCTCACCAGGGAGAGACAGGAAGGGGGCAGGGATGAGAATACATGGTCCGGATGGTGGGGAGATGGTCACACAGCAATCCCTTCTCCTCCATTTTCTCTTGAGATTTTGGGCACACATGCACAGGAACCCAGTGTGTTTTTCAAGCTGCCAGGTTCAGGACTCGAACTATACAGTTAGCCATGTGGAAACTACTTGCATTAAGCATCATGCCACTGGCAGACCTTCAGCCTAATTCTTTAGTAACCAAACATTTTGTTTTTCCATCTGAGGAAAAAAAAATTTTTTTTGAGAGGTTTTTGCTATAGGGTGTGTGTGCTTGCCAGAGAGACAGAGAGAGGCAGAGAGACAGAAAGCGAGAAATCACCCCCCGGGGAGATGGCCACACCGCAATCCCTTCTCCTCCTCCTCCACTGGGATCTTGGGCACGCACGCACACGTGCCCAACATGAGTTTAAGCTATCGGGTCCAGGACTTGAACCGCGGTCGACTACATGGGAGTTCAGCGACATAGCCATTACGCTAACTGCTGGTCCTCCATCTGAGGAAATTTAATGAAGGAATAGCTACTAGAAAACTCAACAATAGGGAAAATTCTTTCATGGACTTCATTTATCATAGATAGAACTATTAATAAATATATACATATATGCATATGTATTTTATTTAAAGTATTTCTTCAGTGTTTGTTTACATATGTGCATATTACCCAAACATACATATTTACTGTCGTCTTTGGCTAGTTTTAGTAGCTTGCTTTGGACCTAAGTGTGCATGTGCACATGTGTATGCAGGTGTGTAGTCATCCCCTTTTCTTTGCCCACTAACTGAATATTAAGACCAGAATGAAACTTGAGGAAATCTTGAGGAATCTTAAGTAGTGTCTCTATGCTTTCATATTTTTTACAAACTAGGTGTGCAGCTCTTTCCAGTTAAAATCCCTTTTTTTTTTGGAGAGGTTTTTGCTATAGGGTGCGTGGGCTCACCTGAAAGACAGAGAGAGACAGAGAGACAGAAAGCGAGACATCACTCCCCAGGGGGGGTTGGGCACGCCGCAATCTCTTCTCCATTCTTCTCTTGGGATCTTGGGCACGCACGCACATACATGTGCCTGGTGTGAGTTTAAGCCACTGGGTCTGGGACTCGAACCGCAGTTGACTACATGGGAGTCCAGTGACCTCCACTGGGATCTTGGGCACGCACGCACACGTGCCCAACATGAGTTTAAGCTATCGGGTCCAGGACTTGAACCGCGGTCGACTACATGGGAGTTCAGCGACATAGCCATTACGCTAACTGCTGGTCCTCCATCTGAGGAAATTTAATGAAGGAATAGCTACTAGAAAACTCAACAATAGGGAAAATTCTTTCATGGACTTCATTTATCATAGATAGAACTATTAATAAATATATACATATATGCATATGTATTTTATTTAAAGTATTTCTTCAGTGTTTGTTTACATATGTGCATATTACCCAAACATACATATTTACTGTCGTCTTTGGCTAGTTTTAGTAGCTTGCTTTGGACCTAAGTGTGCATGTGCACATGTGTATGCAGGTGTGTAGTCATCCCCTTTTCTTTGCCCACTAACTGAATATTAAGACCAGAATGAAACTTGAGGAAATCTTGAGGAATCTTAAGTAGTGTCTCTATGCTTTCATATTTTTTACAAACTAGGTGTGCAGCTCTTTCCAGTTAAAATCCCTTTTTTTTTTGGAGAGGTTTTTGCTATAGGGTGCGTGGGCTCACCTGAAAGACAGAGAGAGACAGAGAGACAGAAAGCGAGACATCACTCCCCAGGGGGGGTTGGGCACGCCGCAATCTCTTCTCCATTCTTCTCTTGGGATCTTGGGCACGCACGCACATACATGTGCCTGGTGTGAGTTTAAGCCACTGGGTCTGGGACTCGAACCGCAGTTGACTACATGGGAGTCCAGTGACATAGTCATTATGCCAACTGCTGGTTCTGAAATCCCCTTTTTTAGAGCGATCTTGTCACCCCAGAAAGATCCCTGTGCTTCTTCGCAGTCAATCTTTATTCTTTCCCTCAGCCCCAGGCAAATACTAATCAGCTTTCTATAAATTTGTCTTTTATAGACATCTCACATAAATAGGATCATCTATTATGTAGGCTTCTTTCACTTATCATAATGTTTTTGGATTTCATCCGTGCTGTAGCATTTGTCAGTAGTTTTTCCTGTTTATTGCTGAGTAGTATTCCATTATGTGGAACTATATTGTTTACCCATGCACCATGTGATGGATATTTGGACCGCTTCCACTTTTGGTTATTATGAATAATGCTTCTAGAAACAACTGTATGCAAGTCTATATATATTTATATATTTTTATAGATTGCCAACAGTGTGCACGCTCCCTATAGAGAAAAGGAGAGGGAGAGAAAGGATACCATGCTCCCAGTGAGGCAGGTCACGTTGCAACCCTTCCCCTCTGTTTCTCAATCCTATTAAGATTTTGAGCATGTACGCATGTGTATTTGCTATATTCTTCAAGCTTTGGTGCTGACATTCAAACCAGTCAGCCATGGGGAGCCAGCTTTTCTATGCACATCACTTGTACAAGTTTTTGTTTGAACAAATGTTTTCCTTTCTCTTGCATGGGATTGCTGGATCACATGGTAAGTGTGTATTTATAAGAAGCTGTCAAACAGTTTTTCAAAATGGCCACACAAAAAGGATCATTTTGAGGATTGTATGGCTGTAAATTTGCTAGTTATATACTTACCACAGGTGAAATTTATAGTATGTAAATTACACACTAATAAAGCTTTATTTTTTCCCCTTCTG